GAGCTAGAAGTGAGTTTTTTCGTCTGCTACGAGGTATCAGACAAGGGGATCTCATATCATCATATCTATTTGATTTGTGTATGGACAAGTTATCTCATTTAATTTAGCAAGAAGTGATGAATAAAAAGTGGCATGCAATTTAAAGGGGGAAACATCGTCCTAGGATTTAAGAGGAGGAAACTACATAAAGAATAATTCTTCTAATGGTAGTTATTGAAGGGATTTAAGAGAGATTTTTCAAAAGTTTAATCTTCTTAGCGGAATAATATTGATGAACGGATCTTGATTAAATGATTAATGACGAATCAAACACCAAAATAAAGATTCAAGAAATACCTCTTGAAGCGTGTTTTATCTTTGATCACGAACGACGGAAGATACTAGCGTCTTTACGTAGTCGAGCATAAAATGGAATACAATGCTTTTCGTCTTAAGAGAAAATTGACAATTAGAATTGGTAGAGAAATACCTCATCTATTTATATAGAGATATTAAAACCATAATGCTCTTATTTTGGATTTTTTTTCAAAATAAGTCCAGTCTTATTCAATTAATCTATTTAAATTAAATAAAATATTCTTATATTTAACTAAAATCTTTTAATAAAATAAAATATTAATTAAATTAAATCATATTAAATTTAATTAGTTATCAATTCTTATTTATTTAATTTGATCATATTTAATCAAGTAAATTATATTTGTGTTAATTTATTAAATAATACAATTAAATCTTATTTAATTTAATCATGTATTACATTGTCAACACTGTATGTGTGTGACCCTATAGGTTCTTGAAACGTTGACAATAATATTAAATCACATATTGAATATTATAAATAGTGACACATAATTGCTACCCAAGTGATGAAAATGTTGTGTGATCTGACATAACCTTTATATGATTATGATCATGTGTATAATTATCCTTTTGACCTTGTATCTATATTGAACACAAGGCATAAAATGTATCACCCTATATAGTCCAATATTATATTCTTTGATTCCCGAATGTACTTGATAATAACAAATAAGTTCAATATCTCAATTTAATTTATTTGAGCACGACCATACATTTTAGAATCATACTTAATCAAGAGGCTCATACATATTACTCTCATATATGTAGGAGAGGCAAATCCTATATAGGTTACTTATGTCCCTCAACATGATTTGTAGAATACTCATCAATCATCTTTATGATCATCCTGTTACGAATAATATTTGATTGACAATAAAATATTTGACTCAACATCTAGGATCCATAGTGGTTTTGGGTCGAAGGGTGGTATACACCATTATCACTATGAGAATAACTTATGAAACTTACATAACAAACTATGTAGTATTCTTGTGGTGGGTGAATTCAATATAAATATTACTCCTAATATATATATACGTATGTGAAGACTTGATATCTCATATCCATGACTCGTGAGATACAATTATCAGTCTATTCACATAATAGTCTTTATGCGTTGTCATATGTGATAGTAAAGCCTGACTATGACTACTTTAATAATGTCATTATGTTTAATGAGGTCTCATGATTTCTCACACTTAATAGGTTATTAAACAAACTAATTATTATTAGGACTTTGTTATGTTATATACATCTAACATAATAAATAGTGTGTGTATATATATATATATATATATATATATATATATATATATATATATATATATATATATATATATATATATATATATATATATATATATATATATATATATATATATATATATATATATATATATATATCAAGATCATGATACAAAAGCATATACAACTAATATTAATTGGCTATTAGGACTACTCCAATAGTTATAATATAAAAAACTAAATGTCCATTTATGTTGAGATCTACGCCAAGTGGTAGAGGTCGAAAGGTTATGGTTATGTGTGAGTTTCATAATCATATACTAGATAAGTTCTTATATGAGAATGACATATTAGGCCGTTTAAAAGATGATGAAAGATAGTTTGTGAATGACATGACCAAATAAAATATTGCTCTCAAATACATAATTGTTGCTTTGAAAAAAGGTATCCAAAAAATCTCACGAGTGTTACCCGAGTGTACAAGGCAAGATATACATACAATGATCATGATTTAGTGAAGTTGTTGAACATGTTTCATTTAGTATTGTTTTTTTTATTATACATACAAAACAAACAGGTACTGCATATTCAAATTGCTTATATTTTCATTTATTTGGTTATGGGTTGGAAGCTATTGATTATTTATTGTACATACAAAACAAATAGGTACTTTCTACCACAACTTGAGATTGTTGGTGTTACATCCACGAAGTTGACGTTTTCGATTGGATTCGCCTATATGGAACATGAAAGAGAGGAAAACTTCACACGTGTACTAGAGAATCTAAAATAGTTTTTTGCTTTCGAGAAGTTACTCCAAATTGCACGACTTCGTTTCAAGATAGCGTGTACAATATTTTGGAAACGATTTGGAAAAGGGTAAGATTCGTTGGTTCTGACAGTTGCATGTGGTTGCTTCGTTAGAACAACACATGAGTTACCTTGTGCGTGTGAACTTCAGGTCTTCAAATACAAGGCGAGTTTGTTCCTTTAGAATCGGTTAACGTGTTTTAGAATAAATTATTCATTGAAGAGCATGAGGTCACTCAAGAAGATAGTGTGACACAATTGAATTTAGAAGAAGAGTTTGAATAGGTATTTCAGTACACTATATATTCTAGGCTATATGGTGATGAAGAAATTTTTTTGGGAACTAACACATCCATCAGCAACTTCCATGTGTCTACCACCAGTGAAGTACAAGCCAAAAAGGGGAAATAAGAAGAGTAAAAAGGATCAAGAAAGTGAAGACCATTGCCATCCTTCATAGTAGGAGTATGCTGAGGGCTTGCAGGAAAGGCAGAGTACGAAAATATCATGTACAAAACCAAATGAAAGTCAATCGTGTAGCCAATCCTCAAAATTTCTTTACTTGTCTTAGTTTCCTATTTTCTTACACCAGTACATTGGTAAAATTATTTATGTGGGTTAAGATGAAAAATATGGTTTTTGTGCTATTGCAACTTTACTTGGATGTGGCAAAGAGTCTTGGCCTTGGTTCAGACACAGTTAGATACTGAAGTTTATTAACACCATCAAATGTATCTTAATGTGTTCTATGACACCGTATATGAGGTTAGAAGCTCGCTGCGAGTAGTTAGTTTGGGTGTGCAGGGTCGTGAGAAGTGGATGACGATTCTTGATATGGGTTACCTCATTGCTTCTAAATATAATGACATTTTGATCTCGTTGTCCAAAAACCCTAACACATTCTTTCCATTAGTGCTAACTCAACGAATAGCTGCGAGTAGACACAAAATTATTGCAGTTGATTTTGTTAACAACATTCATTGGGTTCAAGTGAAGTTGAAACCAAATTATCCACTGCTTCTCGTCACATATCAATGAAGACAAAACTGTAATGAATGTGCAAGAGTATGAAAAATAACATATGCGAGACATATTAGACATTGAGAAGAAGAAGTTTAAAAATCAATATAATTTATTTTTTATTGATATTGTAACACTTTTTGCATTATATATATATATATATATATATATATATATATATATATATATATATATATATATATATATATATATATATATATATATATATATATATATATATATATATATATATATATATATATATATATATTATTGGATATTTTTTTTTAAATATCAAAAAATTAAGGATTTTTCAAAACTCACCTGTGCATACCGGATTGTTTCATAATATCTAAATTTATTTAATATGTATCAAAATTTTAGAAATATCTAATACATACTGTAGGGTTATTGGATTTAAAAAAAAACAATACATATACATCAGATTTATCTAAAAATGGGTATTTCTTCAATCATATACAGAAAATCATGTGTTTTAATCGATAATTTTAAAAATATTTGATATTTCATAAAAAATTCTCGAGATTTCATTATATTCAGAAAAAAATTGCAAAAGATTCAATAACCCTATGAAAAAGTCGATAACTTAAGAGACATTCAAAATCCAAAAATATTTAATAAAAGTATAAAATAATAGCATCTTCTCGTGTGAGGTGTCAAAATAAATTATTCAAATCTCACGGTCCAAGGTAAACACAGTACTGCTAAACTCAAACCATGGTGGCCAACCTATTTTTGGATTTGAATAAGAAACGAGGTAGGTGGTATAACCTTTTGTTAGTGCCAATGTGGCAGTATAAACATGATGTATGCTATGTCAATTAAATAAAGACCAATTTTAATTTTTACTTTTAGAAAACATTTTAATTAATTTAAAAAATATAATTTTTATTCAACAGTTTTTTAAAAATAATTTTTAAAAATTAATAATATAAGTTTGATGACAATATTTTTACATGTGTCTTCAACGCGATTAGGATTTTCTTCATCAATATTTATCCCAATTAAATCAATGTAAAAATTTGTGTTAAAGGTTGAATTCAATTTTGATCTCAAAATTTAATGATAATAGTATTAGTAAAACCCAGTCATTAGGAAGTAAACACGGGCGCAAGAACAACGGGAGTGGGGTTGGTGAAAATAGAATGACTGAATTACCCTCACCAACTCAACCCACCCATTTGAAACTTTTTGTCACCAACTTACTCGGAGAGAATTAACTTAACTTAACCACAATTTCACATCCAAATTTTCCTACCTCGATCTCACCTTATACTCTAAAACGAGAAAAGGACTTAAACCCACACTTTATAACGACGTCACATGCAGATTTTCCTACATCACTCTAAAGAACCTAATCTAATCAAATCCCAAACCAAGAAGGATATAATTGTACATTCACTAATTGATTCAACAGCTAAAAAATCTTTTAAAAGGAACACACAGCACATAAAATCAGATGTACAAAAACCACAAAGGCTCACACCAGTGACACCTTTGTTCGTGATTTTTCCTTTGTATTCACTTTCTTCACTTCACTCATAATGGATCCAGTTAGCGAGTGGGGAAACACGCCGTTAGTAACGGTAGATCCCGAAATCCACGACCTAATCGAAAAGGAGAAACGCCGTCAATGCCGCGGAATCGAACTCATCGCGTCGGAAAATTTCACCTCCTTCGCCGTCATCGAAGCTCTCGGAAGCGCCCTCACTAACAAATACTCCGAAGGAATGCCCGGTAACCGTTACTACGGCGGTAACGAGTTCATCGACCAGATCGAAAACCTCTGCCGCTCACGCGCTCTCGAGGCTTTCCACCTCGACGCCGCGAATTGGGGCGTTAACGTTCAGCCTTACTCCGGTTCTCCGGCGAATTTCGCCGCTTACACGGCGGTGCTTCAGCCTCATGACCGTATCATGGGACTGGATCTTCCTTCCGGTGGTCATTTGACTCATGGATACTATACTTCCGGTGGGAAGAAGATCTCGGCGACTTCGATCTATTTTGAGAGTTTGCCGTATAAGGTGAATTCGAGTACGGGGTTTATTGATTACGATAGATTGGAGGAGAAGGCTTTGGATTTTAGACCTAAGTTGATCATTTGTGGTGGTAGTGCTTATCCTAGAGATTGGGATTATGCTAGGTTTAGACAAGTTGCTGATAAGTGTGGTGCACTTTTGCTTTGTGATATGGCTCACATTAGTGGCCTTGTTGCTGCTCAGGTATGAATTCTTTAGTTAATTTCTAATTTTTGCATGGATCTATCTCACTGTGATAGGATTAGAAAGATAAACTAACAAATCTGCAATTTTTGTTCATGGATGAAGATGGAGTGTATATTCTTGATTATTATTGTTATTTGCTAGATCTGATTTAGAAAGCCTTGTTATAATATAATAATATGGAGTTTAGATTTATGTCGAAATATATTTTCGTGTTATAATATTGGTGATCTTATAATAATACAATAATAATAAGGTTTATATATTTTTTGTTTGATTTTAGTATTGAAGCACGTGAAATTTTGCTTTGAATTTTTGCTGTTTATGTAATAGCTAGACTATTGTATTTTTGTTCATGAGATATGGTTCATATGAAGGTTAATTCAAACATGAGCTAGTATCAATGGTTTTTGCATATTGATTAAAATTGCTTCTTGGGTGCGCTACATATTCTGTAACATGTCATAAATTAGTCATCACTAAACGGTTGTGCAAATATATAACATGGATCATAATATGCTTATAGACATGAGTTTTGATGTTCTGTTTGTGATTTTGAGTTACTTTTTGTGTGGATACAGGAAGCTAATAATCCCTTTGAGTACTGTGACATTGTCACAACAACAACCCATAAGAGCTTAAGGGGTCCTAGGGCTGGTATGATCTTCTACAGGAAGGGACCTAAGCCACCAAAGAAGGGTCAGCCCGAGAATGCAGTTTATGATTTTGAAGACAAAATCAACTTTGCTGTTTTCCCCTCCCTTCAGGGTGGTCCTCACAACCACCAGATTGGTGCCCTTGCTGTTGCTTTGAAACAGGCCACGACACCCGGGTTCAAGGCATACGCCAAACAAGTTAAGGCCAATGCAGTTGCACTTGGAAATTTCTTGATAAGCAAGGGATACGTTCTTGTCACCGGAGGAACTGAAAACCATCTTGTCTTGTGGGATCTCCGTCCTCTTGGCTTGACTGGTAAACTAATTAGCAAGTTCATTGGTTTTTGATTGTTTAAAGTTGGGCCACTCATTTGTTGATGCAATTTCCATACCCTTGCAGGTAATAAGGTGGAAAAACTTTGTGACCTCTGTAACATTACTGTGAACAAGAATGCTGTTTTTGGTGATAGCAGTGCCTTGGCCCCTGGAGGAGTAAGGATTGGTAAGAGCTCCTTTATTTATGAACTAATGTTTTTTATTGAGAACTTAATTATAGAATAGAAACTTTCTTGTGTTAGAAAGTTATGCAAAATTGAAGTTCTTGTTTATGCAAAGTGCGTGATATGCTACCGAGCGTTGTCATTTTGCACAAGTAGTTGACAGGAGCTTTTTGTTAACAGGTGCCCCAGCTATGACTTCTAGGGGATTAGTTGAAAAGGACTTTGAGCAGATTGGTGTGTTTCTTCACCGTGCAGTAACTCTCACACTAGAGATCCAAAAGGAATATGGCAAACTTTTGAAGGATTTCAACAAGGGTTTGGTGAATAACAAAGCTATTGAAGACCTCAAAGCTGATGTTGAGAAGTTTTCAGCCTCATTTGATATGCCTGGGTTCCTAGTATCCGAGCTGAAGTACAAGGATTAAGCTGAGTATGCAAGTTGGGAAGTGGAGATAAATGCTCTCGTTTTGGATGTCACAGGCTAATTCGATTGCTTTTGGTTCAATTTTAAGTTCGTGTATGTTGTTATGTGTCTATCCTGATATCCTATTTTCTTAAGAAAAATATGATGCCACTGTTTTTTACAAATATCTGTTTAATGAAACAAAACAATGTATTTTATTTACCTGTTACACCTACTATCTCTGTATTATGCCAAACGCCAACTTAAAAGTTTGTAGAATTATATTGAAAAAGAATTGTGTTTCATATAGTAGTTAAAGTATTCAAATGTATTGGAGGGTTTCATCTTTTGATCTTTGAACTGCGCCAAAAATAATCAGTTTGATGCGACATTTTCTTCTATGAATATATCAGAAGTTTTCTTCCTAGTATGTTGAGAAGACCTCAATGCCTGATGTTGAGAAGTTTTCTTCTATGTTATTCTTCTGATTTTCTTCAAAGGCCAATTATGATATATTCATATGTATATTTAAAATTTATCCATTAATAATGGACGTGTTGTCATTGCCATTATTTCTTAATTTTTCAAAATAAATACAACAAATTATATTTTTATATTAATTTTTCAAAAAAATATAACAAATTATATTTTTAACTATTACAGGTGTTATAAGAAATCTCTTTGACGATGCAGATACAGAAAAAATCTTACCAGCACCATTGTTGGAAGAATAGGATGATTTGAAAGAAAGAGCAAAATGATATGTATAGTGTGCGCATTGGTTATAAAATTTTGCGAAATGCTTTTAGAAGACAAGAAAAGGTTGTAGGAGAGTTGAATTGGGGTAGTCTTTGGAACTTAAAAGTGCCGCGTAGAGTTAAGCATCTTTTGAGAATTTGTAGGAGTTGCCTATCAACTCGTGTGAGACTCTGAAAACATTTTGTTATGTGCCTGTTAGCCTATCAATTGTGTGAGAATAACACTAAGGATGAATGACACCTAAACTCGTGTGAGTCTCCGAAAACATTTTGTTATGTGCCTGTTAGCCTATTAGTTGTGTGAGAATAACACTAAGGATGAATGACACCTATTTCTGAGATGTAACGTAACTCATCAGTATTGGAGGACAGCAGGTTTGTCTATTCTTATAGACTCTCATATTCACTTGTTTTAAGATGTTAAATCTCTTATTTTTAATATCTGTAAGAAGGAGGATAAAAGATTAGCAAGTAGATTTGCGGTTATAATAGATTTTATATGGAAAAACAGGAACGACTTTATTTGGCATAACAAGCCAGAATAAACATATAAATTGGGTTTATGTGTAGTGCAGATGGAACTATTGGTTTCAAGAAGATACGGAAAGAAATGTTCGACCCCATCATGTTTTGGAATGGAGTCCGCCATCTTAGACCGGTTGAATATAATGTTTTGGAATGGAGTCCGCCATCTTAGACCGGTTGAATATAATGTGGACATAGCTTTTAATAATAACAATGGCACTACTAATAGAGGATGGTGTGTGCGTAATCATCTTGACCATTTTATATATGCAGGTGTTGCTTGGGATCCAGGAATTTTTCCTGTCATTGACGCCAGTGGTGGATCCAAGACCCGGGCTAAGGGGGTGCAAAACATTTCATACTAATAAATTATTATAATTATATCTATAAAAATTAAGTACTTAACAAAAAAATAGTACTCAAATTATAACCTATTCAAAAAATTACTTACATGTTTTATAATTGTCCTTTACGCGATTTAATATTTTGAAATCGTTGAATAATCGGCGCATTATCAATTTCCTTCAACACATCGCTTTCAATATAAGTCACCAGAAAATCGTTCATCCATTCATCCCCCATTCTATTGCGCAATCTAGTTTTCACAATCTTCATAGCAGAAAAGGATCGTTCGGCAGTTGCTGCGGCAACAGGCAAAACCATTGCTAACTTCAAAAGTTGATAAACCAATGGATAAACAACATGTCTTCTAGTTTCAACCAAATTTTTTGAAAGATAGCCAATTCCTTTCAAGGATGCAAATTCAATACTGCTACGCATATCAATGATATAAGTCTCAAGTTAGTTATCAAGCAACAACAAACTAGTTTGACAAAATTCTCGTGGATAAAACTTTCTAAATTCAACCAATTTTCTTTGTCAAAAGAAGAGAACAAATTTGTTGGATTCAAACAAGACACGCAAGTGGGCAACCTACTATTTGTCTCATTAAAACGGATGTTAAGTTCTTGAAGTTGCATGTCCACGACAGTATAAAATGATTCAATGCGATAATGTTTCTCTATTGTGATAGACTCGACATTACTTCCACGCCTTAATCTTCCCGAAAAGTATGTATCATCCATGTTTGGAATGTGAATGTCATGCATATTGCAAAATAAATTTACCTCATCCAACAAAGATTCTCATCCATCATCTCTTAAAGCTTGTAACTGTTGCTTTGTAATGTTAACCAATTTTATAGCATTGACGATATCTTGATCTTTTCTTTGCAAAGTCTGTGACAATTCATTTGAAATACCCAAAATATTTTTCATAAAATGCAACGTTAGTGAAAAATCAAAATTATTCATCAAAAGTATGAGACCACTTGCTTCAGCCTTTTGTTCTCTTAACAATGTTGAATTTTTTTTCAAAATGTCAAGAACATCCATTACGTAATCATACATCAATATCAAATTGGTCAAAGTAGCAAAATGAGAACTCCATCGAGTATCAGCAGCTCGTTTGAGATTAGAGTCTTGATTCAGACCTTCCCCACTAGAAATTTCTCCTTTTCCCAATACTTCCCTAATATTCTCTATTTGTCTTTCACGAAGCATGTCTTTTCGTTTGCATGATCCCCCAACAACATTTATTAAAGTAGACACTAAGTCAAAAACACCACAAACTTGAAGATGATCTTTGGCAATAGCAATTAATGTAAGTTGCAATTGATAATCAAAATAATGTACATAATATGCAGATGGATTTTCACTTAAGATCAAACTTTTTAGACCACTGAATTCTTCTAGCATGTTACTAGCATCGTCATAACCTTGTCCACAAATTCTTGAAGTACTAAGACCATGTTTGCAAAACAAATCTTCAACGGCTACTTTCAAAGTTATTGCTGTTGTACTTTTAACATGAACAATTCCCAAAAAACTCTCAATAATAATTCCATTTTTGTTGACGTAACGCAAAGCAACAACCATTTGTTCCTTATTAGATATGTCACGAGATTCATCAACAAGAATGGAAAATAATTCAACTCCAAGACCAGTCAAGATAGCTTTAGTGATTTCTAAAGAGGTTGCGTTAACAATATCTTTTTGGATTGATGGAGAAATCATTTTTGATATTCAGGGGCATTTCCCAATGCAACTTGTTTTACTTTTTTTTTCCTCTTAGCATACCATCTAAGCATTTCTAGAAAGTTACCTTGATTCCCTGATTCTATTGATTCATTATGACCACGCAAAGCCAATCCCTACTTTAATAGATAACAAATACAATCGATGAAAGCTGTCAACCGCCTTCTATATAGGTCACGAATGCTTTCAGATTGTTTACATATCACAACTTCAATATGTTGATTTTGATTCATCAAATCTTGACATTTCTTCCAAGCAATATTATGGGCACTACTTGGACCTCCAACATGTGATGATAGTCTATCTTTCTTATTCCAATTAGTGAATCCCTCTGTTACAAATGTATCACCACCAGATTGTTTTTCAAAATCGGGTCGAAAAAGATAACAACATAAACAAAATGCTGCATCCTTTTCTATACTATACTCTAACCAATTTCCAAATTCAATAAACCATGAAGAACAAAATCTTCTCAATGAGTTTCCAATTCTTCTTTGGGGAAAATTATGTTGAGTAGGTTGGCACGACCCTTTTTGTATATATGTTCTGCAAATTATCTCTTGATCATTAGAATAATATGCTGATATTTTAAGCTGCTTTTCTGAATCTGATTGTAAATCTTCCAAATTAAATTGAACATGTTGTTGAGAACTAGAGTTTTGCTCATTTGATGGTAATTTTCTCTTAAAAAAATTCTCCATAATCTCCTATAACAAAACAAAACAAAAAAATATTAAAAATAAGAAAAATGTAAGTTAAGTAAGCATGTATAAAAGATATAAACAATAAACTTAATAGTGTCTTTATATATTTTGCAAACTGGTCTAATAAAAAAACTCATGGTTGATTTACATTTTTATGATATATATATATATATATATATATATATATATATATATATATATATATATATATATATATATATATATATATATATATATATATATATATATAATGAAATGCATCGAATTAAAATACTAAAAACTAGAACCGAAAACAATTTAGAAATGAAAGAAAATTTGCTATTAAATTAGGAATGTTCAAAATTGTTACAACATAGCATATAAAAATCAATATTAAATTTATTCACTCATAAACATGTATATTATTTTCTTTGATATAAAAAAAAACTACCTTCCTTTATAGGTAGCTTATGCAATTCGTTCAATATTGCTATGCCTATCTATCTATCTATCTATATATATATATATATATATATATATATATATATATATATATATATATATATATATATATATATATATATATATATATATATATATATATATATATTATTCTTTCATATTTATTTTTGTAAGACAACAAATTTATTAGATTAAAATTAGGTATAAGAAATAGCTAAACCAAAATGATACAAAGTACAAGTCTTAGATTCACAGTTCCAACTGAAACAGCAGAAGAAAACTTCTGAGCATAAAAAATATACAATTAGGTCGGAAAGAATGCAACACTGCCATTGATGCTTAGATAAATATTGAACTTATTACTTAGGCATCAACTGACTACCAGTCCACCACTAAATACCTCCTACAACAACTCAGAGCAGACATCAATAGAGGGGCATACATAACAACAACAGCAAACACTCAACCAAACAACATTAATTAACAGAGTTCTAATTT